GATTATGCCCTATTTGTATATCTGTGTACGCATTTGGATCATTACTTATTTTTTTAAATTAATTTTTGTAGGCCCTACTTGTGAATTTCATGTGAACACACATAATCAATCGTGCTGTAAACTCAGACATTCTGGCAATTTTTTACTGATTGATTACTGAAAATTTCAAGTATAAAAGGGCACCCAAGGCAAAATTTGATTTAGCCTCAGTACTAATTTCTTGCGAGTGCCTTGATTCGTCGTAGCCAGGCTAGGCAAGCTAGGCCAAGCCATAGTTGTCAATGGTAATATGACTTTGTTTAGAGTATTAACTATTAATTATCGATTCAATGTTGGAATATACTGCGGCGGTCGGCGATCGTACAAAACAGTCAAATTTCAAGAAGTTTGATATCTTTGTGTTGTTGCTCAGTGCGTCGTCATTGGAGAGGAAGCCACAACTCTAAACTGTGTCAACCAATTACGTTAATTTCACACGCTTAAGCTGCGATGACGTAAGATCGCCCAAAGTTAGCTGTGCAGCCAGCACATGTTTACAACTGTTACAAAGGCTGTATTCGACGGGTCGTTCTTCGTTAAACCACGCCCACCTGCGCAGCGGTAACATCCTACTCAACGAAGACGACCAGTCAAATAGAAAACTTGTAAATGCTCGACAAAACAAAATGGCTGTATAGTTACCGCGATACACGTTGCGTAATCAAGATTGCTTCAACTTGTGGTAGTATGCAGTGGGTTTTTCGTAAAAAAAAATATTTTCATCCAGTTTTTTTTATTCTGTTTGCCTACAATAATTTTTTGACTCCATGTGGGTAAATATTATAATGTTTATTTTATGAAATTTAATCTAAGTTATATTGATGCCAATGTTTTTAATAAAAAATCACCAATGTTTCTCTTTGGTCACATGGATAACTTAACGCTGATTAACGCACTCTGGTTTACATTTAATTTTCATTGTCAACGAAGTATATTTAACGAACCAGTTGAATGAAAATAATACTCAACGAAAATTCGTTCTAACGAAATGAACCAGTCGAATGAGCCCATGTTTATATTGCAATAACTGCTAGAGTAAGACGCATGCGCACACAGCGGTAACCGCAAAAACAGTTCGTATCAACACACATGGAAATTCTCTCATGTTCTGTTCTGTCACTGCAAACTTGCCTAGGCTAGCTTGGGCGACCTACGTTTTTGGCTTTCGTGTTTTCTTTCAAGATTTAAACGTTCTTACTTAGATTTATTTTACGTGTCAAACGATCTATATTAAGCATCGTGAGGGCACCGAAAGGGCAGGCAAGTAGTGGCCGTCGTCAAGCTTCATTTTCAGGGGCACCAAGGCCATCTGGGAGGGCGCCGTCGGCAAAGGCAGTTATCGATTGCAAATATTACGTCGCATGGAGGATTTATACCTCCACAGCCACACCATGGTTGGGCTGAGGTAAGGAAATTTGTGATTATGGCACTTCTAGGTGGCCGGAAATTTCACTCTCAGACAATTTTCTTTATATCTCCATTTAAAAAAAAATTTTGAACAATTTAGTGGGGGGGAGGAGCTGGGCCCCTCCTTGAATCCGCCACTGCAAATATTTGTAAAAACAAAGGAATTTCTACTCATTATTGAACAAAACATGGATCGAATCAATGGCTAATAAACGCACATGGGCAATCCCCGAATTGGTTTGCATGTATTTTGTTACAACTCAAAAAGATCGAACCACGAAGTTCTTCTTCTGTACTGGCATAATTTTCAAGATCACACTTGACAACTTGGCCTAAGCCTGAACATGGAACTTCTCTGCTAAATAAAACCATTAACCACAAAATTAATATTCTTTTAGGCCTAAAAGCCTGTATTTTTGTATACGATATTCAATCATCACAAAGTGAATACAGTTTTAATTACCGTATATTCAAAAACATTTACCCACGTCGTCAACAACAACACAAATGTCCAATCCGTTTTAGTCAGGTTGAGCCCCTGATCGAGCTCGAAGAACATCTAGGAGAAAGACCATGTTGCACAGAGACCATGTGATATACTCTACGGAGAGTGGAGCAAGAAGTAAACAACCTTGTCTGTCATATTGCATAGAATAATGCATGTATTTCTTATAAGATATGGCAGGTCCAAGCTAAGGTCTCCTTTGGTGTAAAATTTTCAAATTTACACAAATTTAAGAAACATAGTGTCATTTTGAAGCTGAAAGATTTAAGTTTATGATTTTTTAAATTAAAAAGAAAGTGGTATTGTTAATTAATTACTTATTTGGTTACCGTGACGTATGGGACATCTTATATTTTGATGTGTGGATAAGACTGTAATAGGGCAGATTTTCTTACTAGTGGGGAACTAAAAAAGCAATAGTACATAATTTCAGAACATATTTAAATCTGATTAACTAATTATTTATGCAAATTAGGCTCTGTGACAGAATGACATGTCCCGTATGTCACAAATTGACTCACATTTTTTAAATTTTTAACATGCAGAAACAACATTTAATATTAAAAGATATTTCATAAAGATCCAATTTGGTGTACGGTAAGAATGGCCCAGAAAAAATGGCCCAGGATAAAATTGCCACAGAAAAAATGGTCCCGGTAAAAATGGCCCCGGTAAATGGCCCCAAATGACAGGTAGGTAAAAATGGCCCCAATAATAAAATTCTGTATTAAAACTGATTTTTTAAAAATCATTATATGCATTTTTTTTAAACTGAAATAATTTAGTTTTTAAAAGGAATCTAACATCAAATAAATTGCCATTTACATTTTAATTTTTTGCAGAAATTACATATTCAATGATCAAATATTCAAAGATAAAAAAAAAACCATGAATAACATTTTTTTTTTTTTTCATTTAAATGTTAAAAAATAGCAACAACATACAGTAATCAATAAATCAACATAAATCATGCATTTATTAATACTAAAATAATTTATTTGTGGCCAATTTCAAGGAAGCGGAATCACAATTTTCCAGAAATTCAATCCGGGTATTGGTAAACCTCACAAATAATGAGTTTATATGAACATCAAATTATTATTATTCTTTTTTTAGAAAAAGAGAGTTCTACAATCATAATTAAAGGGTTTGGATGGTGTTTGCAGTGTGTTTGGAGGATTGTGGTGTATTTGCAAGTATTTTTTAACCAAAAAATTCATCATTTTAATCAAAAAATAGGTTCTTATAAATATTTAATTTTCTTATTGATATACCAAGTGAGTCAATCACAATTGAATTGTTTGGTTTTCTACAGTGTGTTTTAGGAGGTTTTTGGGATTTAGCAATACCATTCGATCCTACCATAATTACTTTACCCTCACAATTACACGCCATTTTAATTCTTAGCATAATTGCCATATTTACATTTACTATGTATATAGTATCTCAGTT